AGATCCATGAGAAAGAAAGACAAGGGGACAAGCAACTCAAAAATAGTCCAAGCTTTTCAAAACTATATACTTCTATATGTATGGGTATTTGTCTGTGCATCATGTGCATGCAGGACCCCACAAGGTCCAAAAGAGGGCATCAAATCCCTTGGAAATGGAGTTAAGGCTGGTTGAGAGCCACAGTGTCAGCACTGTTAACTAAACACAGGTTCTATGCAAGAACTGCAAGTACTCTTAATCTCTAAGCCATGTCTCCACCCCCAATAGTACAGGCTTTTATTTGAGGGAAAGGAAGTTCTTCAGAAATCTCTGCTGTAAGGAGGGATGGCTTAGCATGTCTGGGTTTGATTCTCAGATGTCCTGGGTTTGATTCTCAGCACCTACATAGCAGCCCACAATCACCTCCAACACCAGGTCTAGGGAATCCATTGTCATCTTCTAGCCCTGACAGGCACCAAGCACATATATGGTGCAAAGACATACATGCAAGCAAAATACCCATATACATAGAATTAATATTTTTAAGCAAAAGAGTAAGAGCTCACTGTCTGATTACAATCTGGGGTAGTTATGGGACAGAAAATTGGGAAGGGGTTAGCCTGATCTACATAGTGAGTTCCAGGCCAGCCAAGGCTAAAAAATGAGACCTTGTCTCAAAAAAAAAAAAAATCAGCCGGGCAATGATGGCCCACATTAATCCCAGCACTCGGGAGGCAGAAGCAGATGGATCTCTGTGAGATAGGACAATCAGAGCTACACACAGAGAAACCTCTCTCAAAAACCAAAAAGAAAAAAAATCAACAAATAAATTCCTTTTATGGCTTCCACCTGGTCATTGCCCAGGATAATCAGTGAGCTAGTTAAAGATGTTAGGTGAGTAATAAATATCTTTCATGGCTGGTCCCTTACTGGAGGTTGATAGAGAAAGAAAGGCAGGAATCTAGAGAAGCAAGTTACTTTCGTTCTATAAATTTATGTTAGTTTCCAAAATTGTCACTGTTTAATCAAAATGCCATGACTATGGATAACATTTCCTGACTTTTGTTTTGATTATATAGGGGAAAAACAGGGAATAATTGTCATTTTTTTCTTTTGTGGGACAGGGTCTGCATCTCCTCAGAGGGGACATGGGGAAGTTTTCAGTATAGTAAACTTTGGAAGAGGAAGATGATGGAAGAGAAGGGTCCCTTTTCAATAGCCTCCAAAACTATATCTGTTTAATTACCTAACATTTTCCCCCTTAAGAGTTGAGACCCTAAACTCATTTAGAAGACAGACATCAAAACACTCTGTGCACTTTGGATAAAATTAAGGGTATATAAGGGTTGAGGGTCCCCACTCTTACTGAATTTCATGCATCATTCAAGGGGGCCCAGATAGATGGAGATAGATTGTTGCAGGATCACCTGGGTGTGGATGGACAATGAGACGGTGGTGTTTGGCATGGACTTAGTGCAGGTAACTATTACGTGAGTTACATGAGTTAATGATTACGGTAGTTGCATCATCGAGTGTAGGGAATGGCCTTTCATCTTAGCCCTTCACCTTATCTTCCAGTCTTAAATACTTCTGGCCACTTTGTCCACAAGGTTCCCTGATTCTAAGAAGTGGTGGTATAAGTGACTTGTCTGAGGCTAGATCCACATTCATGACTTATTTTCTACATTCTCCACTGTTCATTGCAAGGAGAGGTTTCTTTGATTAAGGCTGAAGCTACTTTTATCTGTGGGTATACACATAGGTATTTAGAAAGCAGTTTGCTGCTCTATCAGTTTAGTTAACCATCAGAAGTACATTCCTCCTGTGGGTGTACTACCTCCTCTACTTGAATTGTTAGCCAAGTTTACTGGTTACATAAAAGAATCTAGAATCCATTCAGAGAGCAGTTAGTTAGCCCTTGCTACTCCAACAGTCAAACTGTTATTGCATAGGTGGGTATATCTAGCTTTTCAAACAGTTTCTTTATACTCCCTTTATTCCAGTTAATCCTCCTCCATCTCACACCTTCATCTCCTCAATTCCCCCCTCTCTGGCTCCCTATCTAAACATTTCCACTCAGAGTCCCTCTTTCTTTATATCTATATTGTACTACCCTCCCTCCCTAAGGTACACAAACTCCCTGCGCAATAAACATTTGCCTTTTTTGTTTCTTGATCTGCACAGGTACTCCACTAGATGTAATGTACTAAAGCTAGTATCATCATATGAGAGAAAAACTAGTGGAATTTGTCCTTTTTATACTAGGTTACTCATGTACAAATCCATCCATTTCCCATGCATATTTCATTTTTATAGCTAAGTAATATTCTATTATACATGTGTACTACATTTGTTATTATTATTGACAACTTTGTGTCATCCCATACATGGACTATAAGTTATCTAATGCCTTAGAAATAGTAAACATATTCTTTAAGGAAAATTATTCATGAATTCATATGTGTAACACAAGTTACAGGTGTCAGCACACTTTAATAGTTACTGTGTTTCCTTTTACTGTGGAAAAATATCCATACTCTAAGCTAGCATATTTTCTGATGATAGCAAAAGTACTTTTGTTTTAAATTATTACACCCTGAGTTTTCTGCATTTCAGGCTCATCAAAGAAAATATGGCGGCAATATCATCTTGGGTGCCCAAAGTATCAGCTTGTAAACCTGATACGAAGCCTGAGGACATTCTACAAACTCAACCTCTGATTTCAAATTAAGACCAGACATCTAGGCCCTCATGTCAAGAAAAACTATCTGTATCAAACAGTGCAATAAAATCAATTCAGCCTTCAAGTCTACAAAAGCCATACATGCCATCCAATGCACAAAGACCAGCGAGATACTCAAATACAGATAAGTCATTCATACCATGCACTGTAAAAAGCATCAAGTAGGCAATAAGATTTGAAAAGGCCAACCAAATCAAGCTGCCAAAGATTACATAAGTCACATCACCTGGAAAAGTCATATAAGAAACACAACCTTTAAAAATCATATAATCTTATCCACACCTGTAAATTAGCTAGTCAAGTCAATTCATCCAATTCAAAGAAGCAAGTCATACAACCATGGCTAGCTATTCTGTAATCTTCAAATATGCTAGCCAAACAATCTTGTCCATCAGTCTCACATAATCAAATCCTGTCCACCAAACCATGCAGAATAAAGAAACCAAACCAGTCACATGGACACCATGATCTGAAAAAGCCAGTGAGTACAGGAAAGGCTGCATTACCCAGGAGGCATCTATCAGACAAAGTTTGCTGATATTTTTTTATATTTCTTTTTTTTAAATTTTATTTTACAATATAATTTAATTCTACATATCAACCACAGATTCCCTTGTTCTCCCCCTCCCACCCCCCTCCCCTTCCCCCCAGCTTACCCCCCATTCCCATCTCCTCCAGGGCAAAGACTCCCCAGAGGATTGAGGTCAACCTGGTAGACTCAGTCCAGGCAGGTCCACTCCCCTACTCCCATGCTGAGCCAAGCATCCCTGCATAAGCCCCAGGTTTCAAACCGCCAACTCATGCACTGAGCACAGGACCTGGTCCCACTGCCTGGATGCCTCCCAAACAGATCAAGCCAATCAACTGTCTCACCTATTCAGAGGGCCTGATCCAGTTGGGGGCCCCTCAGCCATTGGTTCATAGTTCATGTTTTTCCATTAGTTTGGCTATTTGTCCCTGTATGTTATCCAACCTTGGTCTCAACAATTCTCGCTCATATAAACCCTCCTCTTTCTCACCAATTGGACTCCCGGAGCTCCACCAGGGGCCTGGCCGTGGATCTCTGCATCCAGTTTCCTCAGTCATTGGATGGGGTTTCTAGCATGACAATTAGGGTGTTTGACCATCCTATCACCAGAGTAGGTCAGTTTGGGCTGTCTCTTGACCATTGCCAGGAGTCTATTGTCGGGGCATCTTTGTGGATTTCTGTGGGCCTCTCTAGCACTTTGCTTCTTCCTGTTCTGTACATGTAATCAACCGTCTTATTAAATAAGAGACACAGAACCAATGCAAAGAAGAAAGCCAAGAGATCAGAGCTAAGAGCCTTACCCGTCTGCTGCAGCTAGCGTCTTCAGTCAAGAGACCTACTTCCTGTGTTTTTGTCTTTATATATACTTTCCGTTCTGCCTTCTCATTGGTTGTAAACCCAACCACATGACTGCCTCGTCACTGCCTGTCTGTACAGACCTCCAGGTCTTCTATGGTTGGTATTGAGATTAAAGGCATGTGTCTCCAATGCTGGCTGTATCCTTGAACACACACAGATCTACCTAATGCTGGGATTAAAGGCGTTCACCACCACCGCCCAGCTTTTGCTATGGTTCTAATAGCTCTGACCCCTGGGCAACTTTATTTATTAACATACAAATCACATTTTAGTACAAATAAAGTATCACTATACTATTCTCATATGGTCATCATTTACCATGGTCTCCTATTCCTTGTTCTCCCTCTCTGTTCTTGATCCAGCTGGGATCTCCTGCTCCCCCAAGCTCTCTTTCCCTAAACCCTTGCCCTTCATTACCCCCATCATGTCCAGGCTGTTTATGTAGATCTCATCCATTTCTCTGTCATTGGGTGATCCTTGTGTCTTTTTTGGGGTCCTGTTTTCTAGGTAGCCTCCCTGGTGTTGTGAGTAGCAGTCCAGTCATCCTTGTTCCTCATCTAGTATCCTCTTATGAGTGAGTACATACCATGTTTGTATTTCTGAGTCTGGGTTACCTTACTCAGGATGATTTTTTTCTAGATCCATCCATTTGCCTGCAAACCTCATGGTGTCATTGGTTTT